GCTGATGGAGCTTCTATCAGTCTCTGTGTTATCGCGGCACGTGTTCGCCCCGAAACGATGTTTCCCTGGCCAAAGTGTGGGAAGTGCACAAAGCCAACCTGACAATGGTCTTCCTTCATTTTTCTCTTGGACTCAACTCCATTGTCGTCTGTCTTTCTCTGCAGCTGCTGATTATGATGTCCATTCTCTCTTATCTGCTTGGCTCCGCATGGCTTCTAATCAGCAGCCAGCACTCCAGCGCCACTCTCCTTGTTCCCGCTCCCCACAACACAGCAGAGACTATCTCACTTTTTTCTTTCCTCTTCTTCTTTTTTTTCTTTCCTGGACAATGACCTGCTTCCTGTTGTTTGTTGTTACACTTCCTGCTGAGTCTCACCAAACAAAAACCTGACCCGCGCTTCTGAAGTAGTCAGCACAATTCACTTCTGACAGCAAAACGGCAAATCCAAGTCTTTTATTTAACAAATGAAAAGTCTTTTTTATAATTTTGCTCAGCTTAAAGATACTTTGTCCCACTAAATGAAGATCCGAGACTTTAAAGTTCTTCTTTTCCTTCCCGGTGATCACAGTACCAGCGATATCGTTCCATTTTGTCGAACCACCTAATTATTTCAGTATCCTATTCGAGTCTCATTTGCATAGCGAGTTCAAAGGAAGCTCCAACCGGGTTGATTGGGATGGGTGATTACTTTTGTAATTATATTGATACCTACAGCAAGTTAATCCGATTATTAGCGCTGCGAATCAGGACCGCGGAACTCGAACAATTATCTCTGTGATTGCGCTACTATGTCGCGGGCCAAGTGTCAACAGAAAAGCTGCGCTATCAGAGCTTCGCGCTTCTCGCAGGCAGCTGCGAGCAGAGTCACTTACCGCGCTTTGATTAGATTCAGATGTATGCTGCACTCCGTCTGCACTTCAGAATAATAGAACACGTTTTTGATGAGGGAGTATTGAAAAAAAAATCCATTCAAGGCGGCTGGATGAGAAAGTAAGATAGCAAATACATTCTGTTTCATCCGCCGTGGTAACAATGCATATTGAAGAGGCATGGTTTCGAAACTTCCAAGCGTGCTGACTTCAAAATGAATGTAGGAGAGTAAAGACGCCCCCCCACCGCCAGCACCAACGCCGCCTCTTCCCATCTCCTCCTTGTGTCCTTTGGGGTAGATTAAAGATTGACAAACATATGGAGAAGGAGTCTGCTCGCTTTGTTGGTCCAAACAACAGCAAGCGCTGGATTAACAATGAGATTCACTCAGCTCGGGAGAGAAAGGACTCGAGCTGACATGTTGCCACCAGTTCACACCAGGACTCTCCTCCAGCGACACGAAGAGTTCAAGTAATTGCTTCGCGCGGCCCTCTTTTCTCGCTGTTCAGCTAATAGTAACGGCGTCATTACAAATCCAGCTTTAGTTGGCGCGAGCACGCGGTCTGACAAGGAGAATAACAGAGAGAAAGCTGAAATGTTAAAGGGAGAGCGGCGTCATCTGGCTGACACATAATTTTGCTGAAGACACGGTCAGTCAGTGGATTAGGGGCTGAACTTTAACTGCCCTGAAAGCCTCCCCGCATTAGACTGTCTAGACTGTCTGTTCACCAGCAGGAAATGCCTTTCCACTCCACCGTTATGAAGTAAGCAGGCATCGCGTTTTATTTAAGAGGTACAAAAATACAGAGGCCCTCCTGGGATGGGCAAATTGTCGCTTCTTCTTTAGTTTCAACAGTACGCTTGGAATAAAAATCCAGCCGGAGAAGTAGAGCTTGAATCGTGTCCTTGGCGCGCCAACTATAAAAATGGAGTATGTGGAAAGAGGAGAGGAGAAGGCCTGGTAATTGGGGCTGTAATAATGTGATAGTAATAATGTGTTTAGTGTGGGCAGCACTTTCCTCAGTGTTAACATGCCGGGCCATTAATTGGCTAATGGAGTATATACGGTGCAGTGCAGGGGTGGCCTCTGAGGAGAAGGCAGGGGGAATGAGAGGACCTGGAAGCGGAGCAGCAGTCACAGGTTGCCCACAAAGAATGCAGTTAGCAGGTGTGTGAGGTTTCGGGGCTAATGAGCATATTAGAGAGCAGAAAAACGGCTTCACAGTTTCCTGTGGTTGTGGTTATATCGA